CCCCCACATCATGTCGCCTGCCTGGATCTGTTATTATCTTGCTCTGAAGCACGGAGAAGTGTCAGAGGTAAGCTCGTTTCAACTGCTTTTTACGACTCGGTCTCATTTCCGGACTCAGGCATTTTGTAAATGAAGCAGATATTTCAGTTAAAATACGTAAGTAAAATATTTATCCGAGTATAATACAACCCCCCAACTTTATGGATGATTTTATGGATTAAAGTTTACGTATTATACTTGAATAAATATGGTAATTTGAAGATCACATAATACTAGAATTAGAAAAAAATGCCTGAATGATACAGTTGTACCTGTATTTATGAAATTCGATATAAACTATACAGTATTTTTCTTTTTTACATGAATATGGTTTTATTTGTCCTGATGTGTATATAAATAAAACAATAAATTTTTTTTAATTTTATAATGTCATCTCCACTGACCGTAAAGGTTTTTGAAAAGGCCTCAAAAAGGCCCACGGACCACCAGTTTATATTCACAGTTGTAGCTTCTTTTGAGGCTCCGGACACATTTCATTAGTGAATCAAGGAGGAGAAATGGCTCTTTTGATCAAAAAGGTTGCAGACCCCCGCACTAGACGGTCCATTTGAACCGTCCGTCTAACACTTCAGCATCACCTCTGGTTTTATGGAAACAGGAAGGTGCAGGAGGGTGGGGTTGGAGATCTAGTTTGGAAACCTCTATGTGGGCTCACCTCCTCTCCAGGTCTGAGGCTGCAGCGTAGTGCAGGGCGGATCGCCCCCACTGATCCGTCGCGTTCAGATCTGTGCCACAAGCCACCAGAGTCTCAAGACACTGATAGTGACGACTGGCAGCGGCGTAATGAAGAGGAGTCCTGAGGAACACAGACTCATTTGTACCAACTCTTTTTTTTTTAATCGACAAAAAATTTCAAAGTGATATAATAAAACAGATTTGTATTTCTGGTTCTTCCTCTAAAAATTCTAAAAAAGAAAACACATTTCCATCAGTTCTGTTGAGTTTAAAGAACTTAATGATTTGTGAGACTGATGTCTCCTGTCCAAAGGTCTTACCTGCCACATTTGTCTCTCCTGTTGTGCTCTCCTCCACTACTCAGAAGTAGTTTGACACAGTCCACGTTACTGCACAGAAACGAGGACAACAAGTAGTCACTACTGATGTGTTTTATTACTGCCCACCATCTGAGGACAGTGGGTTAGAATGTCTTTGATTCTGTGTAGAAGTTTGTTTGTCTGTTAGCAAAATATCTTGTGGAGCAGCTGACCCATTTTAATGAGAGAGCAACCAATGGATGTTCATCTACTTTGATTATGTTTCAAGGGTAACTACATTCAAGATGGCCGTCACAGCTGAACAACCTTAGTAAACACAAAAATGGCTACAATTCAGCCAGGTTTACAGAAACTAAAATTTACAATTCTGCGTGGCTGTAGCTGAGACTGATTCCCAACTCATACTCTGACCATTAACTGATCCTCTGAGGTCTTTAAAACTTTAATTAAAATTAAATTTCCTGATGCATCTCAGTAATCCAGGTAGAAAAAAATCAAAAAGAAAACAATAAGTAGGTCCTCTGGATGGGTTCTTCTTTAG